TAGGGGGGGGGGGGAGGCAGGTGCCAAAAGGCGCTTCAATTTCATTAGAAAATATTAAGAGGAAATGGAAAAATTTCAAACATGCACATAAATAGGGAAACTCACTCACAAACCCATGTACCCATCACTCATCTTCCACAACGAGTCTTCTGCCACTTACTTTTGATTTATTATTGCATTTATATTTAATTAGATTTTGCTGTATCGATTAGGAGTATGTTTAGTGCTTCTGAAAAATGGAAATTATTTCATTGTTTTGGCAGCAAAATTATGCTATTATGTGCTCCTTGTAAAGAGTTCATGCCACCCTGAGAATTAAAAAAAAAAATTATAAAAGTCATCTCTCCTCCTCTTCCTCGTCTGCCTCCTCCTCCTCCTTTTTGGATGGAACCCAGGGTCTTGAGCATGATAGGCAAATGCTCTGCCACTGAACGACATCCCCACCCTCCACAGTTCTCACATAACACTTGGGAGGATTTGGTTCTGAATCCTCCTAGACTCTTATAAGTACACATATTTTTTAAAAATAGGAGTATAACATACAAGTTGTAATCTGCTTTTTGAAATTTAAAAATGTATCTAAGACAGTTTCTATGTCAATAATGATTGATCTAAATCAAAACTTTCAAGGGAAACACATTTTCCTGATGGTTGCTCCATGGTATAGCTAGCCCATCCCCTATTGATGGACATTTGGGAGGGGATTTTCAGAGAACAGTTCTGTTTATCTTGGTACTCTGTATGACCCTAAAACCTGATGCTCTATTTGTTGGTGTATGTTTCTTGAGGTAACTTTATTTGAAATAATTTCAGAGTTATAGGAAAGTAGCAAGTATAGTAGAAAGGCTCTTGTACCCCTCCCTACAGGTCTCCCAACTGTGACATTTTATCACATTGGTGTCATCTTCACTGTCACTCACATTTACTACCACAGTAATAATTATTATCTTTCAGAACTGTTTGAGAGCAGTTGCTGACCCACTCCCCCTTTACTCCTAAACGTCGCAGTGTGCACTCCCCAGAACAAGAACATTTGTCTCTATGACCAAAATCAGGACACTAACATTGGTCTACTTCTGTGATCCAATCTACATGCCTTATTCAATTCCCCCAGCTACTCCAATAATATCCTTTATAGCAAAAAACATTTTCCAGCCAAGGATCTGATCAGGGACTATGCCTGGGACAGTCCTCAGCCCTTCTCTTTCATGAAACTGACACTTTTAGAGTGCAAGCCACTTATTTCATAGAATCCCTCTATTCGAGTTTGTCTGATGCTTGCTCGTGAGTAGAATCAACTTAGCTGATCTTCTGCTCCTCATCCCGAGTAGGTTTTGGAGAATATGTGAGCAGGGATCAAGAGGGAGGCAGTTGGTGGCTTCCCAGTACTATCTGGATGACTCGTCATTGTGTCCACTGAAGGAAATCACGGACACACCACATTTAATGAGTGAAAAAATACATTCCAACGCCAGCTGAAAATAATGTTTGCTTTTCAAGGTGGACATCCAGAATATTGCTCTTTTTCAAACGAAAACACATACTGCAAGTAACTTGTCTTAACTAATACTTCACCCTTCAAAGGAGTCATCTTGCATAGCTTTACTTTATTCATTAAAATGTTTTTATAATATGCCAGTAACTCTCCCTTTAGAACTGGGTTCTAAGACTGCTGTCGTCTAATTTTGGATGTACTCTAGGGCTTTATGTTTCCAGGGTAGGTCATTATCTGGAAATAACCAGTATTGGTCAAGGCTCTTAGTTGCAAACAACAGAATCCACTATGATATCCAATTGGAGGAGAAACAGATTTATTCTGTTATATTGAGGACCCGACAGATGGGCTAAGGAGTCTTGTTTGGATATCGTGCAGCCAGAAACAAAGAGACCAGAGACTCCTGGCAGAAAACCTCCTCACGGCTGCCCATTGCCTGTGATGATTGAGTTCACCTGGGCCATTTGGGGGGAGGTGGGGCAGAGGCGTCTAACCCTGCATTCATCAAGACCACCAATCTCCACGCTTATGAAGAATACCTTGCACGTCCTTGGGGTTTTCCTCTCTGAGCTCACGAGAGCTCTGCAGGTTGAGAAATGTGGGCCCCATGCCAGCACCCAAGCTGCGAGGGTCGAGGAGCATATAACCTGGTGCAAAGATGAAAAGTGAAGGGATCTTAGACCTTGATTCTATTTCCAGCTCAGTCACTCGGACTGGAACTCTGGGAAGTTCTTCTGAGTCTCCTACAATGTCTACTTCTTGAAAGGAGGGTGGTTTCAGGGACCGGTGACCCTGCAAGTGAGGGCCACTCATGTCCCCAGAGCCTGGACTTCTCTCCCTTTAAGCTCATACAAAAAAGACCTCTGAACTAGAGCTCTAGGTCATTTAGGAAGCATTGTCTGCGCTGGTTTCTACCTTCCTCCTTCTAGAGTGTCACCCCTGGTGACACTCAGGTTGTGGTGGCTGATTGTGGTCTGCCCTGACTCTGAGAGAGGAAAAGAGACACAGAGGTGTGGGTGATGGTGGGAAGTGGGCCCAGGCCTCTTCTCTCTTGCTGGAGTTTGGACTCATCCTAGATCTACCCAGTCCCGGCGTCCCAAGCTGGGTCCCTCCAGACCTGGAGGCCCAGCAGAGCATGGGAAGAGACAGGAGACCAGGAAGGCTGAATTTGGGGCAGGAAGGGGCTGGGGTCCTCTGCCTGTAAACTCTTTAATACTCCTTCCCACCCCTGGTACTGGGGATTGAACCCTGAGTGCTCAATCACTGGGCCATATCCGCAGCCTCTTTTTATTTTTTTGATATGGGGACTTGCTAAGTTGCTTAGGGCCTCACTAAATTGCTGAGGTTGGTCTGGAACTTGGGTTCATCCCGCCTCGGCCTCCCGAATTGTTGGGACTCCAGGCGTGTGCCTCACCACCAGACTTTTTTCAGAGCTCTTGAAATTGGGCTGTAGAAGACATTTTACTCTTGGAACATAAGAAGAACAATTTAGAATTTCTGCTTGCAGTTATTTTAACTCTAATAAGTAAAGCAAATTAAGTGTCACTGATATCAAGTATGTAGAACGAGAATAGTTCAGGTGTAAAATTTCTACACATGTTGAGATGTGTTTTCTCAGAAAATCATCACTGACAGGAGCGTGAAAAAGAATGTTTGGAGGTCTCTGAGGTAAATAAAAGATGTGAAGGTACAAAGGGCAGATAATGACGTGGGAATCAATTGATAACTGGTGGATGGAGATGTGAGTGGGCATTGATTTTCTTTTTCTTTCCTCTTCTTTTTCTTCTCCTCCCCTCCTCCTCTTTTTTTTTTTTTTTTTTTTTTGCACTAGGGATTGAACCGAGGGGCACTCTACCACTGAACTGCACCCCAAGTCCTTTTACAAACTTTTGAGACAGGGTCTTGCTAAGTTGCTGAGGCTGGCCTCCAACTGGCTGGCCTTAGCCTCCTGAGTCATGGGCATTGATTTTCAAGACCATGACTTTTGGTGGTGGGGGAAGGTTCTTTGCCCTGGATGTCACTGACAAGCGTGATTTCTAGAGGTTTTTCTCCAACCCCACTGATTCAAAGAGGCAGGGTGACGTTGCCTATTTCAACAGACAATCTTAATAAATTCTGAGGATCCTTGGTCTCTAGCCCATGGAAACCAGGTGACCACATCACAGGGCCCAAGTGGGAGAAGGGTCCCTGGCATGCCAGCTGCTGTTCTAGGCACAACCTTGTTGGTAAGAATGGTGAGATGATAACCCTTAGTCTTATGGGGATTTAGTGTGGTCATCAATTACCAAGTTAGATTTGGGGGACAACACACTTCCTAGGATGGGTGGTATTGACTACTACAGAGTTTCTCCAGTTGTGCTAACTCCAGGACAATGAGGTGTCTGGAAAGTCAGTTTGTGTTCCTAAAGCAGAAGATCAGGTTGGTATTCTTGGTTCAGCAGAGGTTGTCGATTAGGGGTGTGTGTGTGTGTGTGGTCTGACTTCTGGGCCCCTCACAGAAAGAACTCTATGTCTACAGCCTGTGCTTGGAGTCCAAGAGGACCCATTTATTGACACACAGCATTGCTGTCTCTGCCCCATTCTGAGGTCCCCCTGGTGAGGTGGCCACACCACTGACTAGTTGGTGGTGGGGCTGGGAGGCGGGAGGGAACACCTTCTCTCTCCATGATAACTGAGGAGCTCAGGTCCTTCAGAGTCCTGGGATTTTATGCCCTTGTGCCCAAAGCGGGGTGCCCCAACTTCACAGAGGAAAAGGGAGTTCTAGGTCTGGCATCAGAAGCATCTAGAATCAAAGATTCTTCTTCCAAGCTCTCCAGTAGCAGGATCACTCCTCTTCCAGGAGAAGAAAGAGCGCTTGTGCATTTCCGTCCAAATCTAAATGAGTGACGTCCCCTGTTGGTAGGCAGATTTTTCTGCACGCACCCCTGCTCCTTTCCGGCAGAACCGATGATTCTTGTAGCAAAACGGCCATGGGGGCTGCCAGTTAGCAGACGGATTTGCTGCCTCGGAAGACGGGCAATGTCGCCAGTTAATCTGTAGAGTTGTTGGGCATCTTTTCTTCTGTGGACTCCCCAAGCTTGACATTGTTGTCCACAGCTACGAACATCGGGCTCACCTGCTTGGAAGTGATGAGGCTGCTGCTCCACAAGGAGAACAGGGAGGCGATGGGAGTCAGGCTGAAGGAGGGTCTCTCGGGGTTCCTCCCTGGGGACTGGGTGAACCTCGAAGTCTCCTGGACTTTGTTCTGGGAACTGGAGGTGGATTTCCTCACGGGGTGCTTGAGCCACCTTCCGGGTTTGGAGGAGTCCATGGTCATCGTTTGGAAGGACACTGTCTCAGAGGTCATGGGGTCCTGGAGGAACCACCATTGGTAAAGCAGGTAGGCCGGTATCGGCAGAAAGGTGAAGACGCTGAGGAAGGTGACCCAGCCCAGGGCGCTGTTCGGGTAGGGCTGCTTTACTTCCTGGCTCTGGGGGCAGAAAGGGAAAATGCAGGAGTAGAGGAAACGGTGACGACTGAGGGGGTTTCAGTCCATGTGTTCCTGGGCCTGGGATTTCCCAGGGGCTGGGAAGCTGGTTAAAAGGATGCTGCGCCAGTGGGAGTCCAGACCTGGAGTCCTGTGGGTGGCGGACTTGATAAGGGACCCCCCCCTTCAGTGGGATGGGTGGCCAGGCTTGGGGATCATCTCACCATACTTCTATTCCAGGCAATATAGGAGGTTTCCTTGTGATGGAGGGGCAGGATGCAGATGATGAGGAGGGCCAGCAGCCCGGGCAGTGTCACGTAGCACCACAGGAAAGTGAAGGAGGGTCTCAGAAGGTGCCCTAAGTCACGGATCATCTCCTCCCTAAACCTGGGGTGGGCAATGGTCAGGGATAGCTGGGGCTTGAGGGCCTGGCAAGGGTGGGCCTGTGGCCCTTTGGCTTTTTCATAGCTCCCAACTCTTAGGGGCTGCCCAGCTCTCTCCTGGGGCTGGATCTCTCGGGCCACCCCATGGGATTCCCTCAGTCCGTGGATCTGCCTTGCCCAGCCTCCATCTTCAGGCCAACCCAGGACTCCTTGTTTTCACAAGACCCACCACTGCCCTGGGGTCACTCCCTGCTGCAACCCTGAAGCTCTCTCACGAACCCTCCTCCCCGCCATGGGGACTGATCAAGCTCCAACATCCTCATAGGAATGGGAGGGGTCCACAGCTGGGCAGATCACCTGTGGGCTCCATAGATCCAGGACAAAGCCATATTCTGGAATGTCACAATGGCGACAAGGGTGAGAGGGACCAGGTGGTCATCAAACAAAGACATTATGTAGATGCCGGCGTGACTGCTGAAGACGAGGCTGCCCAGAAGCCCTCCCAGGCAGATGACCACTAAGACAGAGGTGGGTTTGGTTCTATTGAGGCCTGTATGTAGGGCTTGGTTGGTGTCAAAGTGAACCCTGAAAATCTGGGCTAAACTTGGGGCAAAGGACAACAGGGCAATGTTTTTGCCGGGGTGAGAATCCACATACCTGGGGCCAGGCTGGGATACTTCACAAAGACTGTGGAGTTCTGGAGAGAAAGGACAATGTTCTCCGAGGTTTTTATCAAGGTGCCCAGGCCTGTGATGAACAGAGCCAGGAAGAAGAGGATGGCCCAGAGAGAGGCATGAGGGAGCAATGAGACGGCCTGGGAGAAGGCTGCAAATGTGAGGCCAGGGCCCTCCATGAGCTGTGGGGGAGAAGGGCTCTGAGGCAGTGGTGCATCTGGATGCAGGGATGGTGCAGTAATTGATTAGCAATGTCTAGGCAGTGAGCATGGGCACGGGGGATGGAGGGTAAAGTGCCCTCCTTGGTTTTGTTAGGTGAACTTCACCTCCTGGAGCCTCAGTTTTCTCCAACAAATAGGGATCCTAGGGCTGGTGTATTTAACAACTTAGCAAAGGCCCCAGCACATGGAAATGGTGGTAGAACCAAGATCAGGACTATTACCTGCCCCAGAGATTTAGTTGGTCCACGAGGCTCCTGGGAAACACATTTCCCAGTGTCCTCTGGGGTCTTTGGGAAGCACCTGCCTGTCCCCACAAACGCACCTTTTCCTTCTGCACTCTGATACTGCAGGACAGGGAGTGGTGGATGACCTGGTACTGGAGGTGTCTGGGGAGGTGGATGATCCAGTTCAGGTAGTCCTGGGGGAGCATGAGCAGGATGTTATCTGGGGGCTTGGCCTCCTTGGGTAGCACCCCAATGGATATCAGCTCTATCAGCCTTGAGACACTCCTAAAGGGGAGGTAGAGGAAAAGAAGAGTGGTAGAGAACATGCGGCCCTTCTGCCATCTGCAAACTAGGAAAATTGAGGACCCAGAGGAAAGGGAGTTGTCCAAGATGCCTGTTGCTGAGGAATAAGGGCACCCAGACAGGGACAGAAAGCTAATCCAGTGGCCTTGGGGTGAGTCATTGGGAGCCCACCTAAGGGACAGAAGAGTTTATATTTTCTGTAGCTAGTGCTCCTCATTATTATGAGTTACATTTTGTCCCACTTACATTTCCTGCGTTCAAGTCCTAACCCTCATCAGTACTTCAGAATGTAACCTTATTTGGAAAAAGGATCACTGTTATATAATTAGTTAAGATGAGGTCATGCTGGAGTAGGTGGGTCATTAACCTCATCTGGCTGGTGTGCTTCATATAAGGGGGACATTTGGACACAGGTACTCTTACAAGGGAAAATGCCATGTGAAGATGAAGGCAGAAAATCAGGGTGATGTGTCTACAAGCTAAGGAATGTCAAAGACTGCGAGGAAACACCAGGAGCCAGGAAAGAGACCTAGGCGGACTCATGACACTCAGAAAGAAACCAACTCGGCAACACAGTGTTCAATACCATACCCATTAGACACATGCTATTTAAATTAAGTTTAATAAAATTAAAAATTAGTGCCTCAGTCTTATTAGGTACATTTCATCACATTTACCACCTTCATATTCCCAATGGCCACATGTGGCTTGTGGCTACCGTGTTGGACAATGCAGACATAGAACATTTTCCACATCACAGAGATCTACTGCTCGGTGCTCCCCTTGGAGATGTTGGTTCTCAATCTAACCTGTTCATTGGAATGACCAGGGAGTTTTTTAAAGCACAAAACTCAGTTTTTACTGAGCTATAATATACAAACAATAGAAGGTACAGGTACCAAGTATATACCTCAGTGAGTTTGGATGACTGCATATAGCCAGCACCCCAATTTCCACCGCACTGGTTACTTAAATCTCCTTTCTAGTTATTTTCCTTCCACCCCAGAGGCAGTACTAATTTGCAGCAGTACATATTCATTTTATACCTGCTTGCTACAATATAACAGCTGATTCATCCATATTGTTGCATATATCAATAGTTGTCTTAGTCTGTTTTCTGTTGCTATAACTGAATACTGCAGACTTGGTAATTTTATAAAGAATGAAGGTTTATTTAGTTCATGGTTCAGGAGAACTAAGGTCAAGGGGACTCATCTGGTGAGAGCCATTTTTGCTCATGGGGACTCCAGAGAGTCTTGAGGTAGCACAGGGCATTAATCACATGACAAGACAGAGCAAGCTTGTTAGCTCAGGTCTCTTTCTTGTTTTTTTTTTTTTTTTTTTTTTACTGGGGTGGGGACATTTAAGCACTGAGCCACACTCCCAGCCCTTGTTATTTTTGAGACAAAGTCTTGATAATCTGCTTAGGGCCTTACTAAGTTGCTGAGGCTGGCCTCAAATATGGGATCCTTCTGCTTCAGCCTCCTGAATTGTTGGGATTACAGTTGTGTGCCATCACACTTGGCATTTGATGATTTTTTGATGCCATTGTAAATGGTTTTAGTTTAGAAATTTCATTAGCTGTGATTACTAGTACGTAGAAATATGGTTATCTTTGTTTAATGGCTTATATTTTTGTGACTTTCTTAAGTGCCCTTATTTTAGTAATTTTTGTAGATTCTTTAGAGTCTTCCAAATATGCACTTATACATCTGTGAATAAAGACAGTTTTCCTTTTTCCTAACAGTTCTTTACTTTTTATATCTTTCTTCCTTTACTATTTTCAGTGGGAAAGAACTTCACTGGAATATTGAAGTGGTTTAAAAAAGAAAAAGGAGGGTTTCATTTCCTTGTTTTCAGCACTAGGGGGAAGTGTTCAAACTCTCACCACTGGGTAGGATGTTCCCTGTAACTTGTCCTGACTCCACTATAAAAGGTTCCCGACTGAGGATGACTTCTCCCCTCCCCCCAGGGGCCTTTGACAAGGTCTGGAGACATTTTGGTTTGGCACAATGGAGAGTGGGTGGGGGTGGGGGCTGCTAAACATTCTACATTGCAGCCTCTGATGCCATACTAATGAGTGATCTGGGCAAAATTCCAAGGGTCCAGATAGAGAAACTCTGCCTTAACTGTTGGAGGAAGCGCTGTTTTGTTTCTAATTTGTTGAGAATTTTCTTTTTCTTTTTGTCATTGGTTCTTTTCCTTAATCTGTTAATGCAATGAATTGATTGATTTCTGGGATAAATCCACTTGCTCGTAATGTAAATTGCTAATACTTTTAAGAATATTTTCAAAAAGACACTTGAGAAGTATTTCTCCTTCCTTTATTACTCTAAAGGGTTTGTGTTGGGGGCTGGGGCTGTAGCTCAGTGGTAGATGCTTGCCTAGCATGTGTGAGGCACTGGGATTGATCCTCAGCACCACATAAAAATAAATAAAATAAAGGCATTACATCCATCTACAACTAAAAAAAAAAAAAACAAAAAAACAAGAACTTGTGTTGGATTAGCACTACATCTTCCTTGATTATTAGATGGAATTCACTAGGGAAGCAATATAGGCCTAGAATTTTCTTTATGGGAAAGTTTTAAATCATAAATTTAATTTTAAACTCAGAAATGGTGCTATTTAGATTTTCCATTTCTTTTTGTGGTCAGACTTGATAATTTGTACCTTTCAAGGAGTTTGTCTATTTCCTTTACATTGTTAAATTTATTTGTATAAATTTTTCACAATATTCTTTATATATATATATATGTTGTAGTTCCACACAGTACCTTTATTTTATTCATATGTGGTGCTGAGGATGGAACCCAATGCCTCACATGTGCTAGGCAAGCTGAGCCACAACCCCAGCTGCCCCCCTCCCCAATACTCTTAATGTTGGCAGGATCTATCATGGTTAATCCCTCCTGTCCCCTCTTTTTTCGTACTGGGATTGAACTCAGGTGTGTCTCTACCACTGAATTATATCCCAGGCCTTTTATTTTTTATTTTGACGCAGGGTCTTGCTAAGTTACTGAGGCTGGCCTCAACCTTATGATCCTCCTGTTGAGACTTTAAGCATCTCTTTGTCATCTCTTTGTTATTCCTGATATTTTAAATTTGTATTTTCTTTATTTTGTATCAGCTATTGAGAGGGAAGTGTTGAAATCTCCAATTACAGTTACACATTTATCTGTTTCTTTAGTGCTGAATTTTTTTCTCCTGTGTGTGTGTGTGAGAGAGGTTGAATCAGGGCCTGAGCATGCTAAACTCATGCTCCACAGCAAGCCGAACCCTCAGCCCCTATCTTTTTTTCACGTTTCTGTCTTGTAGCTCTGTTATGAGGTGTAAAAACATTTAAATAATGCAGATACCCTGATGAATTTGCCCGTTCCTCATTATGGAAAATCTCTGGTATTATTTGTTTTGACTTTGTTTGACATTAATAGAGGCACAATAGCTTTCTTACAATTATTTCTTGACACGTTTTTTTTTTCCCATTCTCTTACTTTAAGCATATTTATATCTTTATAAAGGACATTTTTTTGTAAACAGGATATGACTGGGTCTTGAATTATCTAGTCTGACAATTGCTGCCTTTTAAGTGGGGTATTTATTTAATGTAATTATTGATATGATCTATTTAGGGGGAGGTTACTGAGTGAACCCAGGGATGCTCTACCACTGAGCTACATCCCAGTCCTTTTTAAAAATTAATTTTTTTTTTTTTAAATTTTAAGACAGGGTCCCTTTTAAGTTGCTTGCCTTGTACTTGTAATCCTTCTGCCTCAGCCTCCTGAGTCGCTGGGATCACAGGCCTGTGCCACCACAACCAGCCGGTTGTCTACCCTGGTGCCATTTACAAAAGTAAATGTCTCATCTATTCCATTTTCCTCCTTTCTCTGCTTAAAACAAACTTTTTTTTGTAGTTGTGGATGGACACCTTTATTTTATTTATTTATCAAACCCAGGGGCCCTACCCCTGGCTCCCTCTTTGTTCTTTCATGGTTACTTTAGAGCTACGCTATTCAATTCAGTGGCCACTAACAAGATGTGCCTAGAATGCGGTGAATAGGACTGAGGCATTGAATTTTTAGTTTAGTTTTAATTAATTAAAATTTTAAAGAAGATAGGCCTCAGTTATCAAGAAATTTTAAGTATATTCAGAACAACTTGGGCAATTAATGGGATCAAAACATAAATCAAGTATTTTCCTTCAGTCTCAAGACTATTTAGTATTTCTCTTGGTTCTAAATAGCTGGTGGTGAATTCTCTCATCTTTATCTGAATGGCTTCATTTCACTTTCTTCCTTTGAAGATATTTTTGCTGAAAATGGAATGCAGGCTGACAGAGCCTCTTTTTTCAGCATTGTATAATATTTCAATTCATTTTCTTCTGGCTTACGTGTTTTCTGATGAGAAATCAGCCATAATTTTCATCATTGTATACAAGGTAATCTTTAATTTTTTATTAGTCCAAATATCGTCTGTTTATATTTGGCTTTCAGAAATTTGACCCAGACATACTAAGGTGTGATATTCTTTGTATTTATCCTGGTTGAAATACAGAGTTTTGGGAATCTATGAACTGATATTTTTCACTAAACTTGGAAAAACTTTTCCCACTATTTACATTTTTTTCCTCCTCCAATCCCCTCTCCTCTGCTTCTGAAACTCCCATTATATCTATATTGTCTGTATGGGTCATTGAGGCTGTGTTCAGTTTTTCCTCTCTGTGCTTCATGTTGTATAACTTCTGTTTAGCTGTCTTCAAGATAACTGATCTTTCCTTCTGCTGGTTCCAATCTATACTAAATCCATTCAGTGAAACTTTCACTTAATCTGTATTTTCAGTTCTAGAATTTCCAGAGGGCTTTTTTTTACAAGTTCATATCTTTCTTAAGATGACCTTGTTGGGCTGGTGTTGTGACTCAGTGGTAGTGTGCTTACCTAGCATGTGTGAGGCACTGGGTTCAATTCTCAGCACCACATACAAATAAATAAAGGTCCATCAACAACTAAAAAAAAAAAAAGATACCTTTGTTATCTTCACACATTTTTTTAATCCTATTAAATTTCTTACCATACTTATAACAGTTGTTTTAAAGTTCTTCTCTGCTATTTCTGGTAATAGATGGTCTTTGGGTCTTCTTTTTCCTCTTGGATATGGGTTACATTTTCCTGGTATTTCAGAATGTCTTGTGATTTTTAATTTTATGATGAACATTGTGTGTCAAAAGGCAAAGGATAAAAGTATGATATTTGTATATTTTGTTTAGTCTTTTAAAAAAAATTTTGGTTGTAGATGGACACAATACTTTTATTTTATTTATTTTTATGTGGTGCTAAGGATCAAACTCAGTGCCTCACACATGCTAAGTGAGCACTCCACCACTGAGCCATAAGTGCAGCCCCTTTTATTTAGTATTAATGAATTCAAACCTTTTCTCTCCAAAAGCTAGTGTGTTTATGTTTAGAATGAGGGTTAATTAGATTTTTCTGAGTTGGGCTGGGGCTGGTAATGATTTTAACTGAGTTTTTCTCTGTTTTCAAATGGGATTAAGGAGAGTTTACTTCACAATTGAGCTAATCTCCAACTTTTTAAAAAACTTTTAAAATTTTTTTGGTCCCAGGGATTGAACTCAAGGCACTCGACCCCTGAGCCACATCCCCAGCCCTATTTTGTATTTTATTTAGAGACAGGGTCTCACTGAATTGCTTTTGCAGAGGCTGGCTTTGAACTCGTGATCCTCCTGCCTCAGCCTCCCAAGCCGCTAGGATTACAGGCATGTGCCACTGTGCCCAGCTAACCTCAACTTTATATACCTCCCATCAGTCACTAATTTCTTGGATGCTGGCAAGTGTTTGAGTTGGAGTGGGTTAGATGGTAGCTTTAGATGTTTTTGATTTCTTTTTGTAATCAAGTGGAACCTATGAATCTAAGCACCATAGGTCTCTGCCTGCCAGCCCTGTCTCCATGGAAGCTTTTGACACTTCCTTAGCATAATTTCTAGGGAGGATGTGAGGATAATTGTTGGATAAAGCAAACTACTTGTGTATTGGGGAGGTTCCTTAAGATCTCAGTACCTAACAGTTATTCATAAAGTTATTAAATACTTCAGATGGTTTCTTCTTATTTGTAAAGTCTTTCCATCTACAAAGGCCTGTCCTCCACCCCCATCACCTCTGTTAGGTACTTACTCCCAGGTATAAAGGCTCTTTGTTCACTATGATTTCTGATTACTCTCTAGGGTTTGGTTACTTAAAGTTTATTTATATCCACTATTCTTCAATAATTTCATAGAAAAGTATGGTTTTAAATTTTCTCTGTTAAAAATTTACGGCTTTTTTTTTTGACTTTTGTACCCTTCAACATCCTAAAGGGAAGAAAAATTCCACTGTGGAGGTTGAAAATCCAATGTCTGGATGTACCCATGACCAAGTAAATCAGGATCTTGGGTGGAACAGACACAAGTGTTTCTAAGGCTCCCTACGATTCAAATATGCAGCTGATGCCAATAATCACTGACTGTGGTCTGAAAGCCGTGGCAGTCTTCTTTGTGAGTTAATTAATTGATTTTTGAGATCTTCTTTATTCCATTTACAATAATGGAAAACCTTGGGACAGCCACATCTCTGAGACTGTTTTCTTCTCTCTAAAGCAGGAGAATTAGAATGTTCCCTATTTGTGGTTTTCTCTGAGACTAAATGTGAAGTGATCATTAATGGAGAGGTTCTGAGTTTGAAGGTTCATGGGGCTGGCAGATTGCTAAAGTAGGGGAGATGGCCCTTCTTCTACCTTCATGGCTGCAATTACTCACTTCTGAACACAGGTATGGCCACTGGTGGTAGCCCAGAACCCCAGCACTAGAAAGATGATGGATGTGGTCAGCATCGAGGTCATCAGGTTTCCCAGGACTACGAGGAAGGTTGCCTTGACAAAGTTGTCCCTTCCAGCCTCGTAGGAGGAGGTGATGATGGTGCCCATGCCTAGGCCCAGGGAATAGAGCACATGGCCTCCTGCCTGACGCCACAGTTCCAGCGAGGACAAGGCAGAGAGCTGTGGAATGGGGTAAGAGGAGTTGGGGAGCTGGCTGGCAGGGCAGAACCACCAGTGAGTTGGCAGAGGGGCAGGCTGGGAGGAGAGCAGAGGGATGAAGACTAGGGTCAGACGGAAGGGAGGTGTGGAGCAAGGAGAATCCGAAAATTCTTGGGAGGTTGAGGGAGGAAGAAGATGTGGAGTCTCTGGCCTCACCTCTGTGGTTATCATACGTTCCAGGCTGGCAACTGCACCTTCCAGAAAGAGACATTTGATGAAGATGCAGAGGAGGAAGATGTAGGGGAGGATTATCGAGAAAAACAGCAACTGACCAGGTAGATCAGGATGGAAACCAGGATTCCAGAGAGGTGGGGAGGAAAGAACACAGAGACAAATGTTAAAAAGGGACTGCAGGACTGCGGGCTAGAGAGAGGGAGGTGGGTACTGGTAAGGTGGCCCACAGGGAACAAGTCAGCACTATTGGACGTCAGTCTAGGGAGACAACACTGTTCTCTGGAAAGACAAATCTATCAATAAGCTGACTGGTGGTGACGGGGGAAACTCCAAGTAGAGAAGGTTTTTAAATGGCAAGGCAAGGACACTGTCAACTCACAGGCTTTGGATAATGGCCCACATGTGAGCTTAGAGATAGGAACCACAAAGGCGAGGGAGCCAGCGGAGCTGAAGTCTACGTGGGAAGAACGGGAGAGGGAAAGCAACTATGAAAGGGACTTTGTAACATGATTAATACAAATTTCTAAGTTCTTCATTCTGGGGTGGGGTGATAAGGGCTCCCTCCTTCAGTGTGCTCCACCAAACCTCTGGTATAAAGTCCACTTTTGTAAGACTGGTTTCTATTGGAGGCTGTAAAGAGAGGGTACATTGAGCCTTCAGGGGTGTGTGATGTAAGCCGACTGCTTGCCCTGATGCCGGGACCGAGGATGAAGGCAGTTAACTAAAATGATCTCGTAAACACAGTGGAATAAATTTTCCACGCAAGGGGAGTATGACTCAGGTGAGAATGGAGTAGAAATATGGATTGACATAAAATACTCTAAACGGGAACCTGGAAAGCAATTGGTGGCAATCAGCTCCTTTAAGAGTTAACATGAACTGGGGCTGGGATTGTGGCTCAACGGTAGAGCGCTCGCTTAGCACGGGCGGGACCCGGGTTCTGTTCTAACCACCACATAAAAAATAAAATAAAAAAGGCATTGTGTTGTGTCCATCTATACCTAAAAAATATTTAAAAAAATTTTTTTTTTAAAAAGAGTTAACATGAACTGTCAAAGTGTAGGAAGGCAGAGGTTGCCCTGCTCACTGGGAGACTGGGTTCTGATCTGAAAGCTTCCTAAAGGTCTCCAGGAGCAGTGGGCACGAAGATGGTAAAGAGGGAGCTTGGTCAATACGAAGCACTTCTTGATGGGGGTAGCAAGTTTTTTAGGGGAGTGGTAGGTACAGCTGCCGTGAGGACAGTATGGCCTCTTCCGTAGGACCCCACCTGGAAATTCTGGTGGCTATATCTGAGCGTCTCCCCTGGGTGGGTGGAGGAGTCATGGGGACTGAAGAGCAGTCAACAGAAATCAGGTGAATAGTGTTAGGACAGGAAACCTGGGGATCTTTAGAAAGACAAAGAGGACGCAGGGCCACAGTCAGGGTGGCTTACCAACACTGACAAATCGAGCCCCATGATGACAATGATGAAAAGGAAGATCCAAATTGTCAAGACACCCAGGCTGAGCTTTAGGACGAGGTTCTGGATCCCTTCCTCAATGTGGCCTGAGGCTTCCAGGGTGGTGTGGTACCAGAAGTATTGGTGGGGCACAGTCTGAAGGCAAGAGAAGTCTGGGGGGACCCAGGTGCTTAAGCACCACCGTACTTGGCTCCTGCCCCTGTTCTTCACTTCCTTCCCTTGGGCTCACTTGCTCCTTAGTGCCCCTATCTCCCTTGCACTGATGGCCCCTCTTTCCCTCTGCTCACCAGTGACACTGATGTTCTTCACCAGCGGGCAATAATCCCAAGGCAGGGGATGGTCAAAGGAATTGGCCAGGTAGTAGAGGCTCCAGGAGAGGACGGCACTGTTATACAAGCTCATCAACATGCAGACCTGTGGGTGGACATGGTGGGACTGTGGAATGGAGCAGGTAGAGACAGAGAACCTGGAGACCACAAGAGGCAATCTGGATTGCCTCTCAGCTGGACTCCTCACTTACCAGTATGCTAGTGTAGCCCACGCCACCTAGCCAGGGAACGAGCTGCTTCCAGACCTGGATGATGTCTACACGCAGCCACCGCCCTATGATCACCTCCATGTACAACAGGGGAATCCCGAAGAAGAGGAGCATGAGTAAGTACATCAGGATGAAGCTACCTGAGGAAGGGAACCAGGATCCATGCCCAGGCAGCCAGGAGTTGTGCCCCATTCTCTCTGCTAGGAGGGTAGGTGCCCGTCCCCAGCTCTCTTCTCCTCCATGACCCAGGAATCTAGGCTCCCAGCCTTAAAATTTTTTTCTTATCCTAAGGGACCCCAAGCCCCTGGGCCTTACCTCCTCCATTCTGTTGACACAGGTAAGGGAAACGCCACATGCTGCCTAGCCCAAGAGAGAAAGCCAAGTGTGTCAAAATGTTCTTAGTTCTTTTAGTCTTCATGAAGTAACTTTGGGTCTTGGTAGTAAAAATTTCTTTGGCCTTGAGGTTCCAGAGCTGGTAATTTTCACTGTAGGGTTTGTTGGTGGACTCTTCATCTGTTGTGTCAGTTAGTTCTTCAAAGGACTCCATGGTGTTCTTCTTACAGAAACACTAACTCCTAAGGTAAACTTAAGGTCACCAAGAACAGCAGACTTCAAGGGACATGTCTCAGACACCAGACTATAAGCTTTATTATAAGAGTTTTTGAGAAATGAGGGCCAGAATTTAAATCTTGGCCCTTCTCTCCATGAATTATTGACTTGGGACAAATATTCCACCCTCTGAGGCTCAAGTTTTTCTCATCTTACAAGCAGAAATTAGTTTCAAAATACTTAATAACTGCTTTTTGTGAACCCTGACCAGTCAGAATGGATGCCAGCCATACACACTGGAATATTAGCTTAACATTGGTCCTCTCTGAAAAGCTTCAAGATGACATAATGGATACAGAGTGACAAGGACACAGCAAATACTGGAGACACTCAGGTTTCTTTCCTTTCTCCTTCTGGTCTACTTGAAAACTTTTAGGCCCAACCAGTGCACATAGACTTCTGGGCCAGTGCCTCCTAAACCTGGATGTCCACCACAGTCACTTGAGGAGCTCTAAAAACAAAGATTTCTACCTTTCTTTCTCCTAGTCTCACTCTTCTAGATTCTGATTCAGTAAATCTAAGGTAGGTGCAGGGATTGGTAGAACAACAGAGGTTTCGTGGGAGGGTGGGGGGTGGGGGGGTGTTCCACTTCTGGAAAGGCAGTGCAAAGGAGCTTCTGTGGACCTCCTCCCTAAAGAAACAAGTACAACTTACAAGAACGACAGTGAAAAAAAAATCAACATCTCTGGAACTTGTCCTAAGTACATACAGCAAATGATGACATTTATTCATGAAAACCTATAAAAAGTCAGAATATTGAAAGTCTGTGGTATCTAACTATAGCTGCCCCCTCCCCTCCACACCTCACCCATCATGGCAACTCCACTCAGGATAGAGGGTTCTTTCTCCTTAGCTGCTCCTCAAAGCCTACTTCCCAGGAGAGTCAGGCCTTCAACATTTCTCACTCCTTCCAGATATGGGCTGAAAGGCTAAATTGTAGGCAAGTATGGTAAAAAGGCTAGGAGCTTCCTTTGCCACCAGCCTCTAGTTGTAAGGCAGAGGCTCCGCCTCAGGCCTGGTGTATCCTAGGACTCTGTCTTCCCTGGATCTAGCTCATTTCTGAGGTGAGTTTACATGACAGGAGAGGAAAGTTGATGAGAACAGAAGTTAATACCCCATCAACAACTTGCTCCTAAAGCAGGGCATGTCTGTCAGCGAGGAGCAGGCCGTTGTCCCCATCCATCTCTGGAGATTTTACCCAGAGATCCTTAATAACAAAGAGTCTGAAGTTCTCTCCAAAATAACTAACTTTATTTGAAATAAAGTGTGAAGGAGTTCAAGCCTAAGGGTATACTCAAAAACTGGAATTTTTAGTGGTAAGCAGTTGCTAGTAGCTTCCAGCAAATACACCAGAGAGAATCAAGTAAAGAGATGACTGAGAAGATCTGTCCTGGGGTTAGAACAATCTTAAACACTGACCTAAAATAACAACAATAAAAACCTTTAAAGGACCCAAATTTTAATCAAATGTGGAATTTTAGATCAAGTGTGGAACCATTTATGCCTTACTTTTATTAAAAACAGTAATCAGCTGGCAACAATTGAGCCCTAAAAATTGTGTGTGATCAGGGAAAGACAGCCTTCCTAAAACACTATCATCCCAGGTGCCAGTGTGTGCATAGGGCTGTGCGCTGTGAGAATTATACACTAGGACCAAGTGAGATCTCTCCCAAGAATGTCAGATTGGCTTAATGTATGAAAATTAAGTAATGCAGTACAACCTATCTACTACAGACTAAAGGACAAAACCATATGATCATCTCCATCTATGTAGAAAAATCATGTTAAAATTTCAGTATCCCTCCATGACAAAAACTCCCAACAAACTAGAAACTGAGGAAATTTTCTTAAAATTCACAGCTAATGTACTTAATGATGAAAGACTGAATTCTTTTCTGATATCAGGAATAAGACTTTAGTGTCCTTTCTTACCGCTTCTATTCAGAATTTTACTGGAGGTTCTAGCCAGAGAAATTAGGCAATAAAATGAAATGGAAAAAAAAAAAAAGACATCAAGATTGGAAAGGAAGAAGTAAAACTGTCTACTCCCATATGAAATGATCTTGTATATAGAATATCATAAGGAATCCACAAAAATTACTAGAACTCATAAATAAGTTCAGTAATGTTGCATAATACAAAATCAATATACACAAATCAATGGCATTTCTATATACTTGCAATAAGTAATCCAAAATTAAATTAAGAAAACAATTCTACGGACAAGAGATCAAAAAGAATAAATAATTTACTAATGAATTTATCAAAAGAGAATAAAACATTCTGAAAACTACAAAATGTGTTAAAGAAATTAAAGAAAATTTAATAAATGGAAAGAAATCTCATATCTATGGATCAGAAAGCTTAATATTGTTAACAGAGCAGTACTTTTTAAATTGATTTACAGGGTCAAGGTAATCTGTATCAAAATCACAGCTGGCCTCTTTGCAGAAAATGACAACTGATGATAAAATACATATGGAAATTTAAGGAGTCAAAAAAGCCAAAATGAACTCAAGAAACAACATTGTTGGAGGATTCACACTTCCTGATTTCAAATCTTAGTACAATATTATAGTAATCAAAACAGCATGATACTGGCATAACGTCATGCATATAGATCAACAGAGAGACTAGAACAGAGAACCCAGAAATAAACTTTCATATATATATATATATATATATATATTCAATTGATTTTCAACAAAGATGGCAAGATCGTTCAATGGGGATCTCTTATAGGTCTAGGCTAATGTGTTTGTGTTTTAGTTTTTAACAAAAAGTTTAAAAAGCAAATAGATAAATTTGCAAATAGGCTACACCATATAGCCTAGGTGTGCTATAGGCCATCCCATTTAGCTTTGTGTAAGTATATTCTATGACGTTCACAGAATGGCAAAGTTTCTTAGAACATATCCTCATCCTTAAGCAATTCATGGTTGCGTATGAAGTTCAAGAACAGATGAATCTAATTCATGATGGTAGAAGTCAAAGTAGTGATTACTTCTGGAAGAGTAATATTCTGGGACAGGCACAGTAGAACTTTCTGGGTGATACATGTCTTATGTTTTGGTCTCAGTGGTGGTTTTGTTACCATGCGGGACAAGAGGTTAGGCTTTACCACTCATAGTGCCCCACAGATACTCAGGAATCAAGTTGGTAGGAAAACCAAGTTTATTCAAAGCCAGCTTTGAAGGAACACAGAACAGACTTATTCACCATCATCAGAGAACTCCAGGACAAGGAAAGCTTTTGTAAGAGAAAAGGAGGCAAAATGGGACAAAAGGTAGGGCACATACATATGTAGATTAGTTTAGCCAGAGAACCTCAGTTTCTTTTGCTTCTATCCTCAGCAAAGGAAGTTTTTATTCTCAGTCTGAGGAAGTTGCCCATATTTCAGAGGGAATCTATTTTAGTTACATGAATGTGCATATACATAAAAATTCATTGACCATGTCCTTAAGATTTGTGCACTTCACCATATGTAATCTTTACCTCAGGAAGAAAAAGAAGTTTAAAAAGTATAGGATATATGAGGAGACCAGATAATACAGTGTAAATAATATTGTTTCTGTCGTCTAAAAAGCAACATATAATTGAAATTGATCAGTATTTGGATTATTTGTCTCAGATTCATAGTAAATATACTTCTCATGATCAAGTAAATAAAATATTATGTTAAGAATTTGGCAAAAAAGTATAAATTACCAAGACCAAAAGCAAAACAAATATGAAGACTAAATTTGTGGATTAAAAAAGTAGGCTTTATACAGTTAAAGAGATAATTAGTGACCTGGAAATCATATCAGAAGAAAATTTCCAGAATAAAAGATGGAGAGACAAAATAATGAAAACTGGAGAAAAGAATGTAAGTGGAAAGAACAAGATGATATAAACATGAACACCTGTAGTACCAAAGGAGGGAGAATGGGACAAAAACAATATGAAGAAAGGAAAATGCCCAAGAACTTTCTTAGATAAATAAAGGGCACAAACTACAGACTCCAAAAGCTCTTAAATTAGTTTTAAGCCAGACATGTGGTGCCTGCCTATAGCCCCGGGCTCAGGAGGATTGCAAGTTCAAAGTTAGCCTCAGCAACTTAGCAAGACTCTAAGCCACTTAGAGAGACCCTGTCTCAAAAAAATTAAAAAGGCTGGAGATGTGGCTCAGTTTCTAAGCACTCTTGGGTTCAATCCCTAGTACAAAAAAAATTTGGAAAGGAAGTAAATTTGTCATTATTTACTGATATGATTGTGTGTGTGTGCGCACGCACGTGTATGAAAGAATCTATAGATAAACTATTGGGATTAATAAGTGGGTTTATCCAGCTTCTGGATACAGGATTCATAGAATATTCATTGAGTAGCATTTCAACACACTAGCAAGGAATAAACAGGTAATGAAAAAAAGTTAACAATTAGAATAACAGGAAGATATTTTAAGAGCTTACAAATAAATCTAACTAAAGAATTACAAGACTACTCTACTAAAATCTGTAGCTATTAAGAGAAATAAAGGTTTTAAGTAAATGAAGAGACAGACCATGTCAACCCATAGTAGTGTAGAAATGACAGTATTAAATAGTGATGGGAAACTATATCTTCATATGAAAAAACTGAAATTTGATCTTTATTTGATCCACATCTCATTTGTGAGCGCCACAGATTTAAACATGGAAGTCTTTTTAAGTTAATCTGGGAGAAAATTTCCATGATCTTTAGGTTAAGAGTTATTAGACAGTTAGAAAAAGCACTAACCATACAGAAAACAACAATCAATCTGAATCCATTATAATTCAGAACACCTGTTCATCAAAAGACACCATTAAAAGAATCAAAAGCAAGCCACGGAGTAGGAAAAAAGTTACCACACATAAGAGAGCTCTTATCCAGAATCTAAAACAGAACTCTTTTTAAAAAAAAAAAAATTTTTTTTAG